AAGACAATGTAAGTAATATTATTTCCTGCAATATCCTATGTCTTTGATCTTAAGGTTAACTGAATCATCCACATGCATAATGCACCTCTACCCCGATATAACGCGGTCCTCCGGAGCCAAAAAATCTTACCACGCTATAGGTGAGACTGCGTTATATCGAACTTGCTTTGGCCCCCCTGCTCCTTGTCCCCTGACAGCCCCCTTCAGAGACTCCCCTCCCTAATCACCCCAGGACCCCACCCCTTACCCAACCCCCCTGCTCCCTGTCCCCTGACTGCCCTGACCCCTATCCACATCCCCCGCCCCCGGACAGGCACTCACCGGCAATGGCGGAAGCGGAGCAGCCCAGCCCCAGCCCGCTCCACTCCGCCAGCTCCCAGCTGCGGCACTCCGCTTCCCGCCGCAGGTGAGTACGGGGGGTGTCCTTTTCCCAACCTCCCCGCACTCACCGGCAGCGGGAAGCAGAGTGCCCCAGCTGGGAGCTGACGCGCTGATCCACAGGAGCGCTGCTTTACCGCGTTGTTATATCGGGTCGCGTTATATCGGAATAGAGGTGTATATTGTAATTAAGACATGCAAAGTAATTAGCATCTATAAGCTAATCTGGTTACATTGTTAACATCTAATAAGATACAGATAAACACAGACAAATACAATTAGTATTTACCTCTAATTCTCTAACAATACAGAAATCTCATCCATTTAACATGGGTTGGATAACCGTCTACAAGGAATGGCCCTGTTTACCACTTCAATACTTTCCTAATATGTCCTTAAAGGTTGATTTGGGGTTACTTAGCCTGCTGGTTGTCTAACCCTTGCTGCCTAAGTATCACACTTGCATTTAAAGGAACAGGGTTGCCAATTTTGGTTGGACGTATTCCTGGAGGTTTCATCACATGACATAATATTTAACTAAAGATTAATCTTAAAGTCCTGGAGACTCCAGGACAATCCTGAAGGGTTGGCAACCCTAGTGTCATGGTTGCAGACTGAAAACGTTACTTACTTTAAGGGCTACATTTTGGTGTTTGAAAGCCAGTGGAGCACCAAAGGATGTGCATTGAGGTGTAAGGTTCTGTGCATAATGCTTGGTGTGTGTTCTAGTGGTTAGAGCATTGGACTGGGGCCTCAGGAGACCTGCGTTCTATTCCTGGTTCTGCCACTGGTCTGCTGGGGAAAATCACTTCATCTCTCTGTTCCTCAGTTTCCCAATCTGTAAAATGGGGATACTGATACTGACTTCCCTTGTAAAGTACATTGAGAGCTACTGATGAAAAGAATTGTATAAAATCTAGGTATTAATTTATTATTACTAAAAGGGGGTGTGGGGACCATGTTTAGTAGCACTGTCTAGTATACAAAATGTGTAGCTTTCATTCAACCACGTGCTGCCCTTGTAGCTAACCAATGCTAACTGTTGTGTGGCAGTACTGTTGGGTAGTCATGGTCGCACCCCACATTTCCTTTGGAACGTACAGCACTGCCAACATGAGCCTGAACCAAAGCTCATTGAAGTCAGTGGATCAGGCCCACTGTTAACAACCTCTCCTCTTGCACTCAGGAAGCATAAGCAGCCAACTTATGGCTGCCCCCTTTACAGATGTGTTGGAGGTGAAGTGATTCACTACATTACGTAGGCTGTGAGCTCTTTGGGGCAAGATTGTCATTTACACTGTGTGTGAAAAGCAGCCAAAACAATGAAGCCCCAGTTGTAGTTGGGTCCTCGAGGTCAGAGGTGAGAAAACTATGGCCCGGAGGCCTCTCCTGCCTGGCCCCTGAGCTCCTGGCCTGGGAGGTTAGCCCCCGGCCCCTCCCCTGCTCTTCCAGCTCCCCTGCAGCCTCAGCTCACTGCGCTGCCAGTGCAATGCTCTGGATGGTGGGGCTGCGAGTTCTTGCCAGGCAGCGCAGCTGCAGAGTGATACGTGGTGGCGTGGCTGGCTCCAACTGGGTGGCACAGCTGCTTGTCCTGGTGCTCTGGGCAACGTGGCTGTAGCGCTGCCAGCCATCGGTGCTCCAGGCAGCGTGGTTAGGGGGCAGGGAGCAGAGGGTGTTGGATGGAGGACAGGGGAGTTTGGGGTGGTGTTCAGGGGGTGGAGGTGTGGATAGGGAGTCGGGTGGTCAGAGGTCAGAGAACAGGGGTGTTGAATGGGGGCAGGAGTTCTGGGGGGGCAGTCAAGAAGGAGAGGGAGGTTGGATGGGCGGCGGGGGGCAGTCGGGGGGGTGGATGGGGCAGGGGTTCTGGGGGGCCGTCAGGGGACAGGGAGGGTTGGATGGGGGAGGAGTCCAAGGGTGGCCATCATGGGGTGTTGGATAGGGGTCGGACCACACCTGGCTGTTTGGGGAGGCACAGCCTCCCCTAAACGGCCCTCCATACTATTTTGGAAACCCCACGTGGCCCTCAGGCCAAAAAGTTTGCCTGCCCCTGCTCTAGGTATTTGTGTAATATAAAGAAGAAGAAGAAAAAGAAGAGCCAATCACAACTGATAGATGAAAACTTGGATCTATCATTTTTGACTGTACCACTAAATAAGTAGAGATCAGTGCATCCTTGAAGGAGCAGTTTTAGTCTGTTGGGTAAATGTGTGATTTTGGAAACATAATTGAAAATTTTGTGTGTGTGTGTGTGTGTTATTTTGACGATCCACTAGATGTCAGTGTAACCAAAGCATTAAGCTGATAAACAACAGGTCTATTAACTGGGGAACCAGGACAGGAATGTCTGTGGAATAATAGTAGTTATGCTCTATCTTGCCTCATGGACACAATACATGTGGGGACTGCTACATTTTTACGCTACTCTAGGAAATATTTACAGGAACAATCTCACAACTGATTACTCTGACTCTGTGATGTACTTCCTACCCATACAACTTCTGTGGAGTAGGAATGTATGTAAATACTTCTGAGAATGATGAGCTGGTAGTACCCTCCAGTTTAGAGGTAGGATGAGCAGGCAAAATGAAGTGCTACTGAACAGGTGGAATGCAGGTAAAACTAGGGGCACTTGAGGGGTTGATACCTGTCAATGTTGCTTTGTGGTTGTAATTTTTCACTTTATTCCTCCCCAAAAGGGGTCTTTCCAGCTTTTCTTCAGAATGTGATGACTATTCTTCCAGACATCGAAGAGTGGTCCTGGCCCTCTCCAGAGATTATCAGGGCTGTTCTTGAATCAGCTAGAGAAAGTGTTGCAAAGTGCTATGAGGTGCTCCCTCCCTAGGTTGAGGGCATTGTCTCTTTACAGTGCTCCTAGCTTTTGCCATGTCGGGAATGAAGGACCAGCCCCAAACACAGATCTCCAGATGGTAATCAAACTGTCATCACTAAGTCAAATGCTCCTAGGCTCCCAGGTCAATTTTTCTATCAGGAAACAGCTGATATATATGATTGGGCAGATCATAATGTGAGAAATCTCCTATTCTTAGAATATTTCTCACCAGGACTAGAGATTAATTCAAAAATAAAAAGTAAAACACAATCTCCAACTCCCATGGTCTGTTTTGTTTTACTGGTCTTTATGCATAACACATATGTATAAAGCGTCCAAGCCTTCTGTTTATTACACAGATATTCTACTAATCACTCTCTTCTGTCCCATTCACCTATCTCCAAGAGAAGTGAAGAAAACCAACATGCACCAGACAAAACAAAAACGGGGAGTTATATTGCCTTTACATTTGGAAGAGCAACTAAGAGTTGAATTCAATTTCTTACTTTTACTTCATGCCATAAAAAAACCATCTGAGAAACGTAGGAATTGCATTACCCAATCAGATCCATGGTCCATGTGAGCCTAGATACCCATCTCCAAAAGGGTTTGTTTTCACTAGTGATTTTCACTTAATATGTTTGTGAAAGCTAACATGGACATTCCCCAGTGTTTGGTCCAGGCATAGTCCAATGTGGTAACTACAGTCAAACCTCTCAATAATGCACCCCGCCATAACGTGAAATCGCATATAAGGCGATCATACATCGCATTGGCTCCCCTTTAAGGCCTAATACCAGTGGTCCCCAATGCCATGGCACCCGCCAGGACATTGATGTGCCCCCGCCTAGTGCCCAGCAGGGGATAGACGCTGCAGCCCGGCGCCTGCCGGGGACAGAGAACTCCGAGGCTGCGGGCGCTGGTGCTCTCTGTCCCTAGCAGGTGCGGGGCCACGGTTCCTCTCCGGCTTCAAGAGGAGCTGC